GCGGCGCCGTCGGTCCGTTTTCGAATTGGAAAGGGCGGGCGGGGCCGGAGCGTGGCGTGCGTGATGGTGGGAAGGACGCGCCGCCGGAGATGACGCTCCCACCGTAATGACGCGTCGGAGGCTCGCGGGCGCCGGCGGCAGGGACTCCCACGCCCGCCGCGCCGCCCTCAGATCTCTTCCTTGGGCGCGCTTGTGTAAGAGGAGGAAGATGGCCGCTGCAGCAGAGTTTCTCTGGGAGAGATTTTGGCGCGTCACTTTATGTAATGAAGTTTCGCGGTGAAAGGCCCGGATGAAATGGGTTGTTGATTTAGCGAGCTGCTTCGGCCAGTCACTCGCTGGTGGGAACTGCATGTTGTTCAAGATGCATTCCAGAGCACGCTTCCTCAACAGACCACATGTCGGCGCCGAGAGTTTCTACTTGATGCCGAGAGTGTTGTCTTGGAATGGAAAATGCTCTAAACGTGTGAAAAATGCTTTCCTCGCTTCCACGGCGTCAAGAGTCCGTCATCCTGTGATTCGAAAGTGACTGGGATTCGTCAGATGAGCTGGAGAAAATATACGGCGTAACTCCTCTCGAAGGTAATTATAAAAATCAATTAAGAAGCCAGAGTGATTGGAGAGTCGGAGGCGTGATTTTGGTATACCGAGGTCGGGTTTGAAGACCGTTTGTGCGTCTGTGTCGGCAGAGAAAGGAACAGACGGATATCTTGCCCCGAAATTCCCTCAGAAGAGGAGGAGGAGGAGGAAGAAAGAGAAGAAAAGAAAAAGAGGAGGGGAGGAAGAAAGAGAAGAAAAAGAAAAAGAAGAGGAGGAGGGGGAGGAAGCGGAGTTTATTCCCAAGATGCGTGGGGGGGAGGGGTGAAGGCTATTAGCGGTTTGTGGAGGCGTAAGTCATTGCTCATACTGCAGGCCTTGCCACTCTGCGCTGCAACATCATGCCCACACCGTTCTTGATGCGCCATTCTGCCGAAGTGCGATTGACGAAGTGTCTTCCGTACGGTGATTAGTTCTCTCTTACAGTGATGATTTACCTCGTGGATTTGTAAGAAAGAGAAAGTGTGTATTTTTTTTATTTAGTTTTTACGTTTTTTAATGTATATATATATATATATTTTTAAGTATCTCTACCAGCGTTATTCTTTCGTTTATGTCTCATTAAAGATGATTTTCTATTTTGTTTTTCTTCTTGTGTTTGAGGTATTGCGTTTATTCCATTTCCTCCTCTCCTCTGCTCCCAGTGACCAGCCCCCCCCCCCCCCTACCCTCCTCCTCTTGCCGCTTCCCCCTTTCTGAATCCCCAAGTAATCCCCGCCCTCCCCCTCTCCTTTCTCCTCTCCTCTTCTTTTCCTCTCCCTTCTCCTTGCCTCTCCCCTCTCCGAAGCCCTGAAGCCCTACTCTTTCCTCCCTTGTCTCCTTCGCCGCCTTATCTCCTACCCCTTCCTCTCCTCTCCCCCTTCCCTAACTGTTTTTCCCCTTCTGTAACCCTTTATCCTTCCCCTTTTCCCTTTCCCCCCTTTCTCCCTCCGCCTTTTTCTCCCCTCCTCCCTCCTTTCCCCTCCCCCTCCTTTTCTCCCCCTCCCCCTTTTTCTCCCCCACCCCCTCCTTTCCCCTCCCTGAAGTCTCATAACCCCTTCCGCATTCCTCTCTAACAGAGTCCAATCTTTTCGAGCACTTTCCATTTTGCTCGAGCTCCCGTGACCGGCGGCGGAACGCGAGGGAGACCGAGAACGTGCTCATTGTCCCGTGCGCCGCTAATTGTCGGTCAGCGGGCGTTGTGCGTGCCATCAGGCGGTGTACTTTCGTCTGTGTAATGAAGACCTGTGTCTCTGGAATGAGTGTGTGAGAGGGAAAGAGGGGGGGGGGAGAGAGGGAAAGGGAGAGAGAGAGAGAGAGAGAGAGAGAGAGAGAGAGAGAGAGAGAGAGAGAGAGAGAGAGAGAGAGAGAGAGAGAGAAAAAAAGAGAGAGAGAGAAAAAAAGAGAGAGAGAGAGACAGACAGACAGACAGACAGACAGATAGATAGAGAGAGAGGGGAGAAGAGGAGACAGAAGCGAGAGGCGCGCAAACCGGGAGTGCGGAATGGCCAAGGCGCTCAGGTGACAGAACGCGCGGTCAATCTTGCATCGCTAATACACGTGCGGAAAAAAGTGTGTGTGGGAAAGAGAAGTTACGTAAGAAAGGGCGATGGCTTGGAGTGAGGTAAGCGACGGCGAGGGGAAGAGGAGGAAAATAGTAAAGAAGGTTGGATAGGTCTGTTTGTTGTTGCTGGTGTTCGTACTTGGAGATATTGGGGTTGTTTGCTGTTACTATAATTATCATCATCATCTTCTTCATCATCATCATCATCATCATCAATCATTGCTGTTACTAGTACTACTTTGTTATTAATATTATTATTATTATTATTATTATTATTATTATTATTATTATTATTATTATTATTATTATTACTGCCTTTATTATCCACATCCCTCATCACTAACCCCCCCTTCTCCCCCGCAGGTGTCGCACCACCCCCCCATCGTGGCGCAGTACGTGGAGGGCACTTCCGGGTGGCACAGCTGGCAGGAGTTCTCGATGTCGTCCAAGTTCCGCGGGAAGTACCTGCAGATCATCCCGCTGGGCATCGCGCACCTCAAGTTCCTCGCGTCCGGTAGGTGGCAGCTTCGGGGTTCGGGTGTGGGGTTGGGATTGGGGGGGGGGATTGAGGGGTAGGGGTTGGGGGGGGATTGAGGGGGGGGTGTGGGGGGATGGGTTGAGGGGGGGAGTGGGGGTGGATGGATTGAGGGATGGGGGTGGGGGGTGGATGGATTGAGGGGTGGGGGTGGGGGGTGGATTGAGGGGTGGAGGGTGCTATTTGGTATGGTGGGGTTGTTGGAATTGTTATTTTATTTTATATTTTGCTGTTCTGGTAGGTGATATGTTTTTTCTGGTTTGTGGGTAGTTTTTTTTATTTTGATGGCGGTCGTGTTCTCGTTGTTTATTCTTTACATTTTAGGACTTCCAGGAGGGTTTTTTTCACCTTCTAGTTTAGTGTATCTATGGTCTACGGCGGCATTATTTACTTATTTATTTATTCGCTTGTTTTTGTCGATTTTGTTATTTGTGTGTGTATATGTGTGTGTATTTGTGATTTTATGTGGCTGGTTTATCGTATATTTTTTATGCCTGATGACGGTGTGTCCGCACAATTTCTGATTTCCATTTGATTAAAGTTCCTCCTCGAAGTCGGCAATTTCATCGATCGGAAAAGACCCCGATTCAATTAATAATCGCAGCACGAAGAGGGAAAAGGCAGCGTGATCGAGCGTGTAATTATCTCCAATTCGGAACTGTTTAGACTTTTTCCGGAAGATACAGAGAAAACACAAATTTTGAAATAATTACCCATTACGGCGTCGTTTTATTTCCATGAGCGTGACCCATCAAGGAACAGAATAACAATCGTTTTTTTCTTTCTTTCTTTCTTTTCACGTATTTCTTAACATGTTTCGGAAAATTGGTTCGGATCACGTTTTTTTTTCTTCTTCTTCTTCTTCTTCTTCTTCTTCTTCTTCTTTTCTTTTTCTTTTTTTACGCGGTGTTTTGGCAGCAGGAAAACGGCTTCGGGGATTAGTGTTTGGATTTTTTTTTTTTTTTTTTTTTTTTTTTTGGGGGGGGGGGCAGTGTTGGGAGAGAGGGGGAGGGGGCGGGGGAGGGGGAGGGGGAGGGGGAGGGTGGTGAGAAGAATGGGGATAGGGCGGAAGGGAAGAGGGGAAGGGAGAGGTGGAGCGTGGAAGTTGTAGATAGGTGTAAGGAAGAAAGGAAGGAAGGAGTAGATGGAAAGGAAGGAGAACGGAAGAGGGGGGGAAGAAGGGAGAAAGTCCGGGAAGGAGGAAAGAAGGGGGAGAAAGAGATGGAGGAGGAGGACGAAAGACCGGTGAGGAGGCAAGGATTCAGGGAGAAGGGAGGAAGGGGAAAGGGAAATAGCGAGAAGAAATAAAGAAGGAAAAGACCAGGAGGACAACAAAAGGTGTAGATAGGCAGGGAAAAAAAGGAAAAGGGGGAGAAAAAGAGAGTAAGAACACGACTGCCACCCTCGTCCCCTCACGCAGACACGCCCGGAGGTTCGCAAGACACAACCGAGTGTGTGGGTCCGCGTCGCCGAGGGATGGGGGGGGGTGGCAGACACGACAGACACCCGGCGCGTGCTGTGGCGGCCGAACTGTAATTGGGTGTAATTGGGTGTCTCCTTATTAATTTAGGGTTTCTGCGTGGCTATTTGGCTTGTCTAATCGTATGGGTTAAAGTTTATGGACGGTTTAGATTGGAAGGCACTTTGGGATGTCCGCTGTTTAGAGTTTTTTTTGTTTTATATAAGTCTGTTTGGGTGTTTGATATTTATTTGGAGATTGGTTGTAATAATGGTTGATTTATTGTTTAAGAAATTGGAAGTTTGTTTGTTTGTTTGCCACATCCCATTCACAGCTGTTATTTACTAGGGAATGTCCTACTGACTTTTTTTAATTTCATGTATTTTGATTTTATTAGTATATTACTTGCACACTCATTTAAGGGTGGTAAATATTACTCTCTTGATTACTTAAAAGCATAAGCATGCTTGATAACTACTAAATATATATCCGTTGGCCAACTCGGCGAAAAAAAAAGTAAATGATACACCTAAATTCTTCCAGATAGACACTATTGATGAATATTATGACCTGTTTTGACCCCACCTTCCCCTCTCTCCTCCCAGGGAACCACTACACTTGGAGGAAGGTGTCGACCACCGTGCACAACATGATCGTGGGGAAGCTGTGGCTCGACAACCACGGCGAGATGGAAATTGTCAACCACAAGACTGGAGACAAGTGTTGCCTTAAGTTCATTCCGTACTCCTACTTCTCCAGGGAGATTCCAAAGAAGGTAGAGAGAGAAAGGGGTTGTGTGAGAGAGGGAGAGAAAAAAAAGAGGAAATGGGGATCTTGTTGTTGTTGTTGGCCTTGCTCTTCATTTTCTTTTTCTTCTTCTTTATCTTCTTTTTCTTCTCCTTTTCTTCATCTTTTACTTCTCCTTTCTTCTTTTTCTTCTCTTTTTCTTCTTTTCTTTTCTTCTTCATCGTCTTCTTCTTTTCTTTTCTTCTTCATCGTCTTCTTCTTCTTCTCCCTCTTCCTCCTCCTCCTCCTACTCCTCCTTCGCCTCCTTCACCTCCTTCACCTCCTCCTCCTTCTCCTCCTTCTCTTCCTCTTCTGCTTCATCGTTATCATCATCTTTCTTGGGTTTTATTACTACAAGAAGGACAGTCATTTGCCACAGTATATAAATCAATTTTACATGTTTAATATCAGTATTTGAAGAGTAATCTTTCTTGCATGTCAGGGCACATTTTATTCACAGGATTTGACGGAAAAGTTCTCTGTTGATATTTGTATTAAATTATTCACCTGAAGAAGCCATTCAGTATACAAGTGTGTCCAAATGTATAATGTACACCAATCAGCCTTCTAACACTTTTGCATTTTTACAGGTAACAGGCTATGTTGTGGACAGCGAAGGTACATTTAAGTGGTTCATCACAGGCACTTGGGATGAGAAGATAGAAGCTTGCCGAGTGACCTCTCAGTCGATGAGGGCAGGCAAGCCGGTGTATGAGACTGGACCACCAAAAGTTCTGTGGAAGAGGAATCCAATTGTGTAAGTAATTTTTGTAAAGGTAGATTTTTTTTTTTTTTTTATGCTTCATTTGTATTTGGTGTGTAGGAGACAGTATGGTGATGATCTGTCAGATTGAAGGGGGTTCTGTATTTGATGGATCTTTACAACATGTATGAAGATATATGTAAGTTCTGTTGAGGTTATAGGGTGGGTCTAGGAAGAGTTTGTATAATTATGTAAATAAATACCTGATGTCTAGAGGTATGCATAAGATTCCAAAATTATCTAGTGGATCATGACCTCTGAAATAGCACAAAATAATTCCTTTATAAGTAAAAGTGACTGCCTTGTTTTATTTTGCAAACATAGTTTCCACGTAGATGGTTCCACAAGGACTTAATCACCAAAGAATCAATTAGTTGGTCTACCTGCCCTCAGCTCACATCCCCACTTCTTGAATTTTTGAGAAACTATTTTTTCTTATACTGTTGATATCATTATTGTTATCACTGTTGTCATTGACTTTGAGATTACTGTAATAGTATTATCAATAATGATAGAGTAAGAAATTCCTTTCAGGCAGGACTAGTAACTGACATGGTGCCTAAGCTCTTCTGGAGCCATCTATATCTAAGTAATATTAACAAACTAAAACCACAGAAGTATGTATGTCCATGTCATCCCTGCACCAAAGGGTTAATAACAGAACTAGAAGTTTTGTTTATATTTTTATCTATCTCAGTTTCAAGCTAAGAGTAAGGTTTGTTTCAAACTATTATGGGATGCACATTAGAAAAAAAATGAAAAATAAAAAATAAGATATATAAATAAATCAGAAAAAAATGTATGTGATTATACTTATTCAAATTTTTTTTTTTTTTAGAAAATTGTATGAAAAGTTATTTATGCTTTATATTTTCTCCATTGTTCTATTTCTCCAAGTAGAAGAATAGAAAAATATACATCTAAGAATTAGGGGTATAATATATAATATGATACAACACACACAGACATTCTATTATTCTGTATATTTTTTACCTTGATCTCCTTCAACGTGGTGTAGTTCCTGAGAGACTTTTCAGGGGCCGTTAAGTAAAGCCTCCTTCCTTCGTCTTGCAGGCCTGACTCAGAAAAATACTACAACTTCACCAAATTGGCCTGCCAGCTCAACGAGCCAGAGGAGAACGTCTCGCCGACTGACTCCCGACACCGGCCCGACCAGAGGCTGATGGAGGAGGGGATGTGGGACGAAGCAAATGCCGAGAAGTTGAGGCTCGAGGAGAAACAACGAGCGACTCGGCGCAGACGGGAAGCGGAGGCCGAGCAGGCAGCAACTGAAGGTCGGTGGAGCAGTCGGTGTTCTTACTTTCCTCTCCTTTCCTTTTTCTTCATATTCTTCTTTTTCTCTATACTGAGTGGGTAATTATTCTTAGGGTGTTTCATTATTTTTTATGATAGTTTGGATTTTCTTTTAACCCATTGCCACTGGGGAAAAGGAACAAAAAATGGGGGAAATGCAGTACTCATTTTTTATATTTTTGTGAAATATCTCTGTCCATAGATGGCTCTGCTAGTTCTGATTTCACCTTTCCTTGAATTGGTGGGGAAAAATGCATTTTTACTAGTGCTATAAATATAGATGGTGTTATTTTTAACAACAAATTAGGATAACGTTAAATATTTTTGCAAATCGATGAAAAGGGTGAACGGGCAAGACAGGCAGTACTGTAATTGGCTCATTGGATACTTAGTACAAGTGTAGCCATCTATGTGTAAAAACAATCGAACAAGTCGACTCACAGTGGGCATGGCATGTACGTACATGCCATCCCCGGCGGCAATGAGTTAAAGTGATTTATAGGGCAAACTTAGAATAAGATACTAAAGAGTTGCGTAATTATTCATAGTTGAATACATATATTTTTCTATTTTATTATTACTAGTAAGTATAATTAATTCATTACTTCCTTGTGTTTTTTTTTTCTCTCTCTCTCTCTTAGTAACAGTGTTCATATTTATAATTGCTTTTTGTTACATAGGGGATTGGAAAATAATAATGAGCACCATTAAAGATGTAAAGATTGCATTTGTCTTACACAGTAATTACAGGTCCCATATACTCTACCTCCTGTAACATTTATGATTTTATTCTATGTGTTCTTTCCATTTTCTCAGTTGGAGCAAGTGGATAAAGTCATTAGGCCACGTCTCATTACATTTATTTTTCTCTTGCAATCACTCACCCTTCTCTTTTTGTTCTATTGCAGGTCGTGAATATCCTCCCTACTGTCCAACATGGTTCGTAAAGGAGACGGATGACGTCACAGGGGCTCTCATCTTTAGGTTTACGCATGAATATTGGGACTGCAAGGAAAAGCAGGAATGGTCAAGATGTCCAGACATATTTTAGTCCACGGACAGTGTCTAGTACCTGCCTTAATATATTGCAATTTTTTTCTCTGCCGCCCAACTGATTTGGGATGGGCCATCTGGAGGCAATGTTGTCCAGTGCATCAATTGGTCTAATCATACGTGAGGTACAATGTCTTGGAAACTTGTAACTAAGGAATCTGTGAAAGTTGGAAGTTCAATGATGGGGTCATCTTTATTATTGGTTGACTTTATATATATCATTATTGTATTTTATTTTATTATTTTTTAATATTGAATTGAAAAGACCAGTATTGCAGCCAAATTAATTTGCAAAAGGAAATACAATTGTTTTTATATAAATTAAAGGATATATATATATATATATATATATATATATATATATATATATATATATATATATATATATATATATATATATATATATATATATATTGAGTCCTAAGCCCTTGTAACTTGTTCATAAAAAGGACGTCTCCAAGGCAAGGCCTAGTTACGACAGCTCTAGGAGTCCTCAGCAAGGCTCGTGTGCACTTTAACACAGTGACATGTTTTCTCCATATCATGGACTCGGAAGTACCTACCAAGACTCCTGGTGCTAATGCTTATGTTTTAACCACAGTCTGGGGGTACTTCTCAACTTGTGATCCATATTATATGATTGAAGTGACTGTAAAAGAGTTGAAAAGAATGGTGTTCAAATTGAAAAGTGACTTTTATAAAAGAGTTTAAAATGTAGTTTAATGGGCCAGCTGTGAATGGGATGTGGCATGAGACATATATATTGTATGTTATGTTATATAAAGTGTTCTCAGTTTGTAAGGCATACATTCTGGCTCAAGCCAATGCCTTGTTGAGTTAGGTGTAATTTATGATTTATTAGAATAATGGGGCTTGTGCAACTCTTGCAGTGTCAGCTGCCCAATTGTACAGTTGTATTTTTTCCAATTATTCCCAATTTGTATTTGTTTAGGAACATGTAAAATAACAGGTGAATATATTTTTTACCTTACCTAGGAAATATACTATACATTTCTCTAATATTGTTTTGTGGCTGTATCAGCTGTTGACTGTCAGCAGTTCTGTAATACTTTCTAACAAAGGTGAAAGATTACTTATTTTCAGACAGATGGAAGGTCAGATGGCTGGCTGCCCAAAAGTGTTTGGGAGAGTCAATTCCTTACTGAGTATTGCTTGTTAAGAACATACTGTGTTGATTTATGAAGAGAACTACTTGTCTGGAACTTGATCAGAATTCTGTTTACCAAAAAAAAAAAAAAAAAAAGTAATGATAAAAATAAAATAAAGACACATTTCACCATTTTGTAGTAGGGATCTGCTGGTGATACTCTCTTGTTGTTAATGGTGATGTTATACTGCAGATTAACATAGTTTTTGAAAATTTCTATTTAATGTTTTTTTGTTGCTTTTATCTAAAGAAAACACTAATTTTAATCAGCTCAGATTTTGAGGATTTTATGATCTGCAAGAAGAAAAGAACTGCACATAGATATATTAATAGACATGAAGACTCTGTTATCTGTTGCCCCATATTTTTTTTCTCTTTATAGATAATGCAGTAGGCAGGTGTTAACTGATCAATAAGTTAACATGTTGCAGTCATTTTTAGATGTGGCCATCTGTCCTTGTAATCTTATTGTTTGCCAGTGGTTTCGGGGAGATCAAATTGATACATGCTCAAAATTTCTTTATTTTGTGGTTGGAGCTACAGATTCGATTGGTTAAAATTTGTCGTACGTGGAGCCACTGGTTGCATCGGTCAGCTGCTGTCCCTCACTGCAGAAATCTATTCCTTTTTTAACTAAACAATTATCAACCAAATTTGATTTGCATCCTATGACTGCTCAAAGAAGCTTCTGGCTTCCCCTAACTTGTCACAGATTTTATTTTTTTTTTTTTATGTATTTATGCATTTTTTCTTTAGGAAATGAAATGAAAGAAATAGTTTTTGTGCTTTGTGTACTGGTATTAGTTATGTGATTAACTAGGTTATCACAAAGCTTTTTGATTGTCATTTAAATATCACAAACTCAGAAGTTGGATAGTCATGGTTATATAGTGTGCAATTCTTCATCTCCTCAGCTCCTGGTCTTGTTGCTTGGGAGTATTTCTTTTGATACACAATGTTGTTCTGAGGTATCTGTGGTCCAAGGGTTTCCCTGTTGATCCAGGATTTAATTGTTATCCCTAAGATATTCCTGCTGCTGCAGGGTGTCTGTTGCATTATGATACCTCTTTGTCCCACATATATATATATAACTGGAGCTATGAGGTATCCCCACAGCTCTAGGACTAAATTGTCTCGATGATAACCAGACATAGTGGCCGAGTAGCTAGAGTTCCAAAGCAGTTTTAGCGTAACAATTATGTGTAGCCTATTTCCTCCATGGATGCGTTATAGGTATGTAATTTGTTACTGTGAGCTTTCCTCTGCCTACTCGGTAAGTGCTACATTGATATCAAATGTGCTGGGAAGAACTATTGTGATTTTTGTAGTCTTTTTGTCAGGTTTGTTCTTTTTTTTCTTCTTTTTTCACTTCAAGGAATAAAGCCCCCTGAAGATGACTTCAAGTGTCATAATAGTTAGTCTCTTCACACCTAGTTTGCCTGCTTGTGATAAACCAAGGAAACATATGAGAGTAGGAGCAACCAAGGGCTCAGTAGGAATACTAGACACCTTCATCTGTACATATTCCCATGTTAGGGGTGTGTGCTGACCAATGGTACAGTCGGACCTCATTAACACTGAAGTCCCCTCATTTTGCTTAATCTGTTTCGTTGATTAACTCTTGCTTGAATAACCAGATCTGTATTTGGAGATCACCATTTGAATGATATATTTTGCCTTGGATTCTTGTGGTCAGTCTTAATGAGGTTTACCTGTAAAATGTTAGAGAACTTAGCATCTTGATTGAATGGACTGATTGATGATGTGCTCTTGTTGAAGCTTTATATGAGGAGATGAAAAGTCTCCTGTTATTTTGATGTATGGCTTTTCATGAACATTTTAAACATGAATGATTGGCATCTTTAGGGGTATTTTGATTCCAATGTAAGAAAAATCAGCACTGATAGTTTCCCAGATGATCAGTGCATTCATAGTTTCAAACACCCATCGTGGCAGTCGTGTTGCTGCTGGTCATAGTACTTTTACAAGGGAAATATTGTCTCATGAGAGATATTGTTGAATGGGAATATTTAAGAGTTATTATCAGTACATTATTCTTACATATATAGTTTGTATGATGCGTTAATTGCTTTTGTGATATACAAGAGAAAATAAAATGGGAGACTAGTATTACTGGACTTTTTTATTACCCTTTAAAGAAATGATTGAAGAAAAAGGCAGAAGTCTGTCTACATGTATTTTTATACATACTAGTAAAAGTGATATATAGTCATAACTTAAATGAGGTGATCCTAACATTTGTTCAAATGAATCTTACCTGTATGAAAACACTACTAACTCTACAAGAAAAAGAAAGGAAGAAAGTATATTAGTGATCATCTACAGAAACCTTCCCCCCCAAATCCCTTGCTCATTGTCGCGGGGGAGGGGCTTAGGAGACGGAGACTGATCACCTCTGCCTTGGATCTCAGTCATTGACTCAACAAATTTTGCTTGGTCTTTTCTTCTCCCTCTTTCCTTTTCCTTCTCTTCTTCATCCCTTTTGTCCACTTATCCTAATCATTAATTCCTTTTTACTCTTTTTGTCACAGTACTTTGCTGTGTGACTTTTGATATCAGACAATTTTTCTGGAAATCCACAAACATCGCCTTGTGAAACAAAAAACTCTTATCTGGGTGCTACGCCTCCAAGCCCCACCCCATCGATGTATTTTGAATTCGCAGCTAATGACCTTGGATATTAAAACCTTCATACTCTAAGTTATGACTCTAAGAAGGAAATGGGACCAACTTAACCATGTTACGAGAATATCAGTTATCATACATGGGTCATATATAGTGAATTGTATTGCACAGTTCCGTCTCAATTTACTGAAGTAGTTTGCTCTTATTATAAGATGTTAGAAATTGCCCTGCGTGGAAACAATTTCCAAGTGTTATTACAGAAAATTGAATAATCTAAATAATTGTTCCATCAAATGTTGTCCGTGAAAATAGCAAACCTTTATTTTCAATGAAGCTGAACAATATCCATCTTGTCTCTACTTTAATCTTTGATGCTGCATAATATTTCCATATTTTATATCCAGTAATCAGCCCACATGTAATAATAAACACCAGGTCAACAATTAACAGCCAACCATTAAAAAATGAACACGAATATCAAGTCATAAATAGCAAAATATGAGAATCGATTCGGCGTCCCAAACACCGCTCAGGCAAACATTTTCATAACGTTGGATATAACATTGGACAATACCCTTTAGATTTGATAAACATTCACGGAGGAAGAAAATAAAGTCTTTGGAATCGCAAACCAAATTA